TTTCTTGGGTCAACCCAGAAACTCTGGGGTGGTAGTGGGGTCCAGTAATCTGTGTTCTAACAAGCCGTCCAGGTGATTCTGATTCACATGTAAGTCTCAGAACCCCAGTTTCTCACAAGTAAGTCTTCTTGCCTTTTGAAACCATTTTCTGCTCTTCAGTAGAAGGGCCTCAAAATGTATGAGTCCAGCTCCACCAATGTGCAGCCCAGCCCCTTGCCCCACCAGAAATACCAGCAATCTGTACCTTCCGCCAGGCTTCCTTTGTGGTCACAAAACTCAAAGTTTTCACAGCACCTCTGAGAGGCCGCAGGCTCTCAGAAATGTACGAAGGAGCAAGAACCTGGAGACAATTTGGTCTCAAATAATTTGCTCACTTCCCTTCCCCCTGCCTCCAACATATATATGTGTGTGTGTGTGTATATATATATAAACAATATAGTTATGTTTTTTAAAATTGAGGGCCAAGTCTTACAATGTGCTGGGCATATTCTCTATTGTAACCCTGAGGTTTCTTTGAATCTCGGATCTCAGCTGTAAACCGAGGGGCTCAATGATCTGTCCTCAACCTCCCTTCCAACTCTAAAAGCCTGTGATTGCCTGACATTAAATGAACTTTTCCATTTCAGAATATCAAATGCTCTCATTCATCCACTGTTACGATGGATGGTATAGCTGTACTTAATAAATCAATGAATGGTGACTGTACTTAATGAATTTGTTTTGTTAAATATCTGTTATAAGCAAAGCACCTTGTCCTCTTTTCACAATGTATTTAAGTGAACTCTTTAGTGACTGCACATAAAAAAATCTTGAAGCAACTACCGTCAGAAATGCGGGAATAAATTTCTAACCCTCCATGGACTAGGGAGGGCTTGGCAGCAGTGAGAAATCTTACAGCGTGGGGCAGCTTCTGTGCTGAGGGCCCGTGGTTATGAATGTTGCAACACGATAACTCTCACCCAGAAAACCCACCATGCAGTCCAGGGCAGTCCCCACCCTTGTCCCAGAGTTCTAACTCGAGTTGACTCTACTTCAAAGGAAGGAAAGGTTGTTTGGCCAAATACCCAAGGAGCATCGGTTTCAGGAATGTGACATGCTGTTAAACCACAGCCGTGTAAGCTTGCGGCTGCTGAGATTTTCCAAGGATGAAAGTTTCACTTTTCAAAGAAAAACATGGCACCATGTAAGTTGGAGAAACATAAGTAAATGGTGTCAATGGGCCCCAAGAAGCTTTCTCTCCCAAATACCTACTATGTGTACCTTCTGGGGAAGGATGGGAGGAGTGTGAGAATAGACTAAATGTACAAGGTTAGAATGATGAGATGCAGTTCCTGCCTTTGAGTGGAGAAAAAAGACAGTTGGGAGGGCAGAGTCCAATGTCAGTGCACAGCATGGTGGAGGCCAGGGGGGGACTAGGGAAAGGAGCAGGACGTTCCCCTAGAGGCCAGGTCAAGTGAATGATCAGCGTGGGGCAGCTGGGAGGGTTGTTGGAGCTGAAAGCAGCAGGTCACAGGGCAGGAGAGAGGTCCCCAGGCATCAACACTGGGCACACAGGGCCTCTCTGAGATCCTGTGTCAGGCCCCCTGCCCCCCCCCCCACATCTGACTCAGGTTTAGGAGAGTGACCACCAAGGATTGCTGAATGCAGCTGGAAGAGAATGTGGGGATGTCCTATCTCCCTAGATTGGCATTAATCTGCACTTCAAAGTGAAGTAGGTATCTGAGGAACTGAATTAGTACAGAATCAAATTTCACAGAATCACAGCTGTTTAATTTTGGAAGGGAAGTGGGGGTGATCATTGAACCCAACTTCACTCTCCATGTCATGATCTCGATGTTGGCTTACTTATCCAGCTTCACTTGGATGCCTCCATTGACGGGGAGCTTGCTCTCCTACAAGTAACCTGCTTCGTCACCAAAAGGCTCCAGTTGTCCCTACATGTTTTCCTTATATGGTGCTAACATCTCCCTCCTCTATTTTACCCTCCTAAGCCCAAGCTCTGTCCTTCAGAACAGGTCTGAACCTGTATTTACTACAGCAGCCTTTTAACTGTTTGAAGGAGCAACCCCCAACCTCTCTAAACATCCCTAGTTCCTCCCACAGTGCTTTTATGGGACAGCTTCCAGGCCTGGTTAAGGGCATCTGAACACTGACTAGGCTGCCCATGTTCCTCGAAAACTGCTCCCCACTCCCTCAAACCTGCGAGTGATTTTCCAGGTAGAGTGAGAGCAACATGGGTCAGGCCATGGACAGTGTGTGGGCAATGTTGAAACCCTGAGCTGGCTGACCTCAGGGACCACAGAGGACTGGTGGATGCTTCAGGAACTGAAAGACAGTCCAAGTCAACCCAGCATCGGGTGACCCCTTCCAGAGGGGCCAGGCAGCCTTGACCAAGCCCGATGCTGAATACTTGCTAAGCCCTGGGTGGTCTGTAGCCTCTCACTGTCCGGAGTAAAAGCAGGCCCTGGGCCAGAGTCTGTGGACACTGAATTTCATGGACACTGGTGGGAAAAACCACTAAGCCCTGAGCTTGGCATAGAAGGGAGAAGCCCGCCCCCTTGTGGAACTCTGGGGGGTGGCAAGATGCAAAAAGCTCTGAAACCACCCCCAGGAGATGAGGGGTCTGTGGGGAGCAGCCACTTCCTTTCGCCACTGCCATGTCACCAGTCACCTCTCATGCATTGTGAAGAGAGTTGATCCAGTGTCACAGCGTAGGGGAGAGGTGGCAGGCGACATAAAGGGAAGTTAGGAGGTGGAGACCCCTGGGTCTAGTTGTCTGGTGACAGAAAGTTATAAAGAAACTAGGTAAATATTATTAGCACCTGTGAATAAATGAAGAGAGAAAAAATAAAAACACAAACAGGCATCAGGAGGCCTTTCCTGGTTCCCCCATTCCATGTGCAGCCCCAACATAATCTCAGTCACTCTCTCAGCCTCCAAGGGCTGTGCTAGGTGAAGGTTACAATCCCTCTGAATACTGAAGCATTAGACTGTCACATCACTCTCCTGACAACAGTCAGTCCTTGGTGGCACCACACCCCTGCCTGAAGAGATGAGGGCATGGGAGGCGGCAAGGACAAAGGGCATTGCAGAAGGGAGGCAGAGGGCACCAACATGACCAGCGTGGCAGGCCCACCCCAGGTGCTGGAGAACACAGTGCCCTTCCATCATGGCACCATGCCCCTGGGAGCCCCGAAGGGTCATTTCCCACAGTGGCCTCCCCTCCATCCACAGTTTTGGCCAAGTCTCCATCATTTCTCCACTGTGTGGACACTGGCCCAGACGTGCATGTGCCATAAACATGCTGGCCCCAGATAGATGTGACCCAGGCCCAATTGCTGTCCAGTCCAGCAGCCAAAAACAACTCTGCTGCTATGCACTCGCACACTGCTAAGCTGCCTTTACTCAGCACTAAGCACATTATCAAAGATTGTGTTTTTAGCATATTTTCGAGGTAAATTCCGTACTACTCTGTAACTGATCAGTATAATCAGGCTAAATGTAGCCTAGGAAACGCAAACCAGAAGCACTTTTTCAAAGCTCTCCAGATAAAAAATAAGGTGGATTTTAAAAATTGAATTCTATGTTAAGATGTTTCAAATTTCTTACTGCATTATGCTCATAGAGACGCATGGCCATAAAGTCATCAAAGATAATCTTCTTAAAGGCTAACTGTCCTCCAGCAAAATGAAAAGCATTGAAACCTTTAAAAAACGGCCTTGTATAAATTCTTGTAAATAATGATGCCCTCAGGCTAGTGTACTCCTAGCTAGAAAGCTCCAGGGCAAATGTTATGGGGAGGAGTCATCTTTGCACGCCAGAGTACATTAGAGCTTTGGCCTAAACTATAGAAACCTGTAATGTCTCATTTTTTTGGAATGGCATTACAATGTTACTCTAAGGCATTGTAAGTTATGTAAACACCCTTTAAAAATCAGAGGATTCCAACAAGTACAACCCAAGTACTACCTAAAAATTAAAGTCAGGTAGAACATGTAACTCTAATTGTAGACAGAACCCTTTTCAAACACCTATTTAGACCACCCGGTTTCTGCAGCATTGCCAAATTCAAAATTGTAATGAAAATTTTAAAGTCCAAAACCTACAAGCCATCAGAGGTTCAGTAAGCAGATTGTGCCATTTCAAAACGGAAAATGTGCTTGCATAAGCAAGTCACTGAGGCTAACCTTTCTGGATTGAGAGTCTGGCCTTCAGTTCAGAACATCGCTGTGCCAGGGTCAGAAATGCGACAAAACTGTGCTTTCACAGAGGTTAGCCAAGGTTCACAGGGTCATGACTGGGCCATTTTATCAGTCACGTCAGGCTCACACCCTATTGCCTGGGATAGATAAAAACTTTATCTGTCGGTTTGCTAAATCTGCTCCTCCTGCCTCATTTTGAATAAAGAAAACCTGGGATCAGCTTATCTAAACCAGAAACTTGCCTTTTCCAATACCATTTTCATATGCAACTTCTAAGTAAAGGTGACATGCCAATGATTTTTGGTCTCATTTTAGTCAAGAACTGTCCATAATTGGAGTGACTGGCTTTGTCTTATCTAAAACCTTAACTTCATAGAACAGTTCTGGCACTGACAACATGGGTTTATTATATTTATTAAATGTTAGGCTGAAGGTGTTATCCAAGTATTAGAATGATAGTCTTTAAAGTGTTAACCTTTTCAGATTCATCTTTTCCCTAGGGAAAAAAAAAAATCTAAAATTGACTTTGATAGATTTCCCACATAGGAAATTTAAATTACCTTAGAAGAATTTACACATATACCCTGGACGAATATACACACCGACACATAGACATAATATATATCTTCTAATAATTGTTAGGAAGAAAAAACAGCTCAGGTTTCTTCTTCACAGAAAATAGGTGTGCACAGATAACAAATAAACCCAGTTAGACATTCAGAAGTCTGATTAAATACACTTAGTACAAATATTAAACTGGTGAGTTTCCCTTGACAAGAATCTTAAATGCAAGAAAAGAACCTTCAAATATTACTTTATTTGGAAATTATACAAATTCATTATTTTGATATTTAAAGACCATGGTACTGTAGCAGAGACATAAATATTATAATATACATTTAGAAATTAAATATAATAAAGTCAACATGACACTATATAAAAACTCATATGTACGCTTCAAATAAGTCTGAGGTTCAAGCATTCGTGCCCATCAGATTTCTCCCCGGAAATGGGTGAATCTTGCAGGGAGATTATCCACAGGGTACACGGTGGGACTGGTTTTCATTGTAGGAGGTCCATTTAGTAGCTGCCAGTCACAATGCCTGGCCAGCTCCACTGTAAATATTTTGAGAAGAATTTTTGCAAACTCTTTGCCTACACAGCTTCTCAGGCCTCCTCCGAATGGAATGAAGCTGAACCTGGATGCATCCTCTGGGTGAGGGAGCATAAATCGGTCAGGATTAAATTCTTCCTTGTTGGTGAAGATATCTGCCACATCATGAGTATCACAGATACTGTAGATAACATTCCAGCCCTTGGGAATCTGGTATCCCTGCAAAAGATTATGAAGTCCCAAGGGCTGACAAACTGGAATTTAACCCTCAACAACAAAAAGCTATCACCGACATTTCTGGGGGAGTTATGAGTTAAAAAGAGAGGGAGAGAGATTGATTCAGGTTGCTGCAATGTGTGTCCACGTGGGGCAGGAAATGTTGTCAAAAGCACAAAGAATTTAAGCCAATACACAGAGAAGCAAAAGGGAGGTTTAAAACCACAGCAAAAGAGGGCAGGAGAGAGAACCTTTAACTCACATTTAATTCAAAAGTCTTAAGAGCAACCCGAAACCCTCCTGGAACTGGGGGATTCAGTCGCAGAGTCTCCTTAATAACACACCCAATGTATTTAAGTTGTTCCAAAATTTCCATGTCCAACTTGTTGTCTTGATTGCTCTTGCAAAGTAAACCCTATCAAAACAGTCATACAGAGGTGAACGGTTATTTTGTGCTCCAATAAAATCAGCCCAGCAGACGTAAACAGGGCTTAAGTGGTGACTAAGCCCAAAGGGCCCCATGATGGGGAGAGTGTGAGGGGGAAACAGCAGCTAGTGACCATTTGCCTCCATCCCTCAGCACAAATCCACTATCTATTTACAATTCCAAGAGAAAGCTACTCACCAGTTAGTAGGGCCAAGCTCTCCTCCCCCTCTGGCCCCCCCACCACTGCTCACACCGATCAGCTACACACAATGAGCACACTGCTCATGCCCTGAAACACACAGATCCAAGAAGGTGGAACCTATCCGAAAACCTCCACAGTTCTTGCAAGGTGGAGGAGGGCTAGGAACACAAGGCCAAACTTGCCCAGGTGGGATCCCAGCTCAAGATTCCATCCTTTTCATTCACAAAGCTAATTCTCTCTGCCCACTGGCCCACCCAGCCCTTGGCCTCACACTCAGGGAAAGCAGCACTCTTATTGGGAAGTTTGTTAGGGAGCAGCTGAACTTCCTAAGCTAATAGGGAACCCCCAGAGTCCCCCTACCTTACTATTCAGCTCCTCTCGCACTTTCTGAAGAACACGTGGGTAGAGCCCCAGGTAAGTGATCAGAGAGGTTGCTGCACTGGCCGTGGTTTCGTGTCCTCCAAAGAGGAGTTCGGTTGAAGATTGCTTTAGTGCCTAAGAATGGAGTAAGACCAACGTTTTTATAAGTCTGCATAAAACAGTTGTACAGAAAGATGACTCAGAACTGAACCGAGGGTTTCCTTGGAAAGACCGAAGGGCTAAAAGTTTTGCTGATAGAAAGTCAAGGAATGCAACATCTTTAAACAAAATACAAAGTCTCTTTTGTTCAGCTAGAGCAGGAAAGCAAGTAAGAGCCCACTGTACCGAGAGCTCCTGAGTTAAAGCCTTAGGTATATCAAAATCCCCCAAAGTACTTTATTAACATTCTGCAAATTCCAACTTTCCCTTTAAAACCTGGACAGGCTAGAGGACGCTCCCCATGCCGCGGCCGCCTCTTCCGCAGCTCTTCTGACCCAGTGTCTCAACCTTCAGGATCCCACCTCCGGAGTCTGGGCGGGCTGCCCGCTCCGGGAAGCTGGGCCCCAGGTGGGCGCTTTGGGGGCCCCAGGAACCGAGCTTGGAAAGCCAGGGGAGCAACCCCCGCCGTGCCTCCTCTGCAGCCGCCACTCACCTGCATGTCCAGCCGCTCTCCCCTGTCCCACGAGTGCTCGATCAACAGCTGCAGCGCGTCTTTGCAGCCCTCTCCGGCCTCTGCCTCCCGCAGTCTGCAGATCTTGGCGCGAATGTTCTCTTCGATCCGCGAGTGAATGAGGTTCCGCGCCTTCATGCCCTGGGCGCAGAGAGCGCGAGGCGGTGAGCAGACGCCCGGCTCCCGCACCCGTAGCTCCGCAGCCCGCATGCCGCCCTTACCCGGTACAGGCCGCTGAAGGGCACGTCGATGGGCAGCGAGAAGAGATTGCGGGTCATCTCCTCAAAGGCCTCCACCAGCTGCTGCTCGGCGTCCCCGCTGCCCGCCAGCCGGGGCTCGCAGCCCAGCAGGATGCGCATGGCGATGCGGAACATGAGACGCTTCACCTCTGGGTAGACCAGCAGGCCGCGCTCGCCGCAGCTCAGCCACCGTCCCAGGCAACTGCCCACTTCTTCGGTGATCACCGGCACGTAGCCCTGGAGCGCCTCGCGGCTGAAGGCCCGCATAATCACCTGAGCCCCGAGGAGGGGAGAGCGTTAAAACCTCCCCTCCGCCCCTCTCGCCTTCCGGGGTCCCCTTCCAGACGCCACCAGATCCAAGGCACGTCCCGGCTGGAGAGGATCCTAACCCACCTCTCACGCTGCTAGCGATCACCCAGCATCTATCTGCCTGAACCCCTCCAATGAATGGGGTCTTCCCCCTTGTCCAGGCGTCGCCACCCGCCCTCACCTTCTTGCGCTGCTTGTGCGAGGAATCGTGCAGGTTGGAGAGGCAGCCAGAGCCCAGGATGGTGCGCACCGACGCCGGCCAGTGGACAGACACCAGCCGGTGCTCTCCGAGCAAGATGCGCCGCACGTTGTCCGCGCCCATCACTCGCACCGTGGGCCGCCCGAACAGATGCGTCTTGTAGATGAAGCCGTATTTCCTGCGCTTCATCTGCAGGAACTTCCTCCGCTGTAAGAGGAAAGCGGGCGTCAGGGGGCGCCGAGGAGCGCCGCGCCTCCCGCTAGCCTTGCTGCTAGCCGCAGTCGCCTCCCTCCCGGGGGGCGCCTACCCCGGCTTCAGCGGAAGCCCAGAGCCGAGCCGGGCTCCGGGGAAGCGTCCTGTCCCGCCGCCAGCTCCCTTACCTGCAACACCATCTGCAAGGTTTCCCCAAAGAAGGGGAAGCCCATAGTCCCGGGGGGCAGGGGGAGGGTGCAGCTGCGGTCCCGGCTGCTCATGCAGTACAGGTCCCAGAGCTTGATCGCGGCCAGGAAGAGCAGCAGCGGTAGCACGAAGGTGCAGAGCGCACTGGCCAGCAGTGCCGGGAGCCCCATGGCGCGCCGCGGCCTCCCGCGCCACCTGCCGCCGCCGCAAGCGTTCCAAACCCCGCCGTGCGCCCGCTTTATAGGCAGCCCAGGTTGCTGCCCACGTTACCTTGGTCAGACAAATTAGTTCACCCAAAGTTCATCTTTAATTGCGGATTGGGCCCCTGGCTCCTCCCCCCGCGAGGCGCTGCCCAAAATCTTTAACCGTTTGTTCCGCGCCGAGGCAGAGGCGGCGCGGTGGCGGCTTCCCTCCGAGCGCGCCTCCTGGGGTGCGGGGCTGAGAGCAGCCCGCTTTCCCCATCCACGGTGTGCGAAGCTCCCAGGCGGCGGCGGGGCCGGCCGATGCTCCGGGGAGCGGGAATTCCAAGCCCTAGACTTGCTGGAGATCTCTTCAGAATCCCTCCCGCCGGTCCGACGGGCCGCCACAGCCCATAGCTCCCTTCCCTGGATTTCCATTTACAGGCGCCTCGTGGCCTCCCTATCACCTGCTGGGCAAGCAAGAGGAAGTGCGTTCAGGAATCATTCTGCTGCCTTGTCCCACGGGTGGGGAAACTGAGGTCCAAAGGGCCAGGATCCAAGCCAGAGTCGCGGGGAGTCAGGCATGAACCGCGGATAGTGGATCCTAGCTCCCCACCCCCCGCAAGGGGGCCTGCACTTATGAAATCGCGGAAGGTCCTCCTTAGGGGTACAAAAGAGACTCCGGGTACCTCAGGATTTCAGGTGCACCTCTGCAGAAGCCTGATCCCAACTCTGACACCCAGTGGCGGACCGCAGGTGCAATTCATCTGTGGATCCTGACAAGCCCTCCCGATTCCGAGGGCCCTGGCGCTTGCAGACCCGACTAGGGAGCAGGGAAGAGTGTCCTTAGCCCTGGAAGGATAAGGGGATGGAGATAGAGGAAGAAAGGCCCAGGAGTCCTGGCTCCATCACTACTTGCGTGACCTTGGGCAAGTCACCACACATCCTTGCGCCTACTTCCTCCTCTTTAATATGCAGGCGACCATTCCCGACCTGTCTACACCTCGGGGTAGTCGTGAGTTCCCAGAAGGGGCCTCTGGTTACAAATACTCTTCCCAGCTCCAGGCACACTCGGCTGCGTTAGCATGGTGGCCTGGACGCCGGGCACTGGTGCCTTCCTTCGTTCTCCTAGCTCCCACTCAGCGCAGAGCCGCTGCCCTCACCCAGGTGAGAGGGGTGCTCGGCCTAAACCCAGGCCTCTGCCGCAGCTAATGGGAGGGTTGAAGGGATCCGTACTGGAAAGCGGGTCTTCTGTACTTCGTCCAAGTACAACCAGCCGCTCCTGCGGCCAGTGCCTGGAGCTCCGGCACTGACCGACGCATAGGGCACTACCGACTTTCCACCGGGCCGAGCCACACGGCTTCGGACCGGTCAGCACCACACGTTCGCTTAGTTTGGGCGCCGAACGCAGAGGCGCCTCAACGACACAGAATGACGTGCGTTTGTTTAGAACTGAACCCTGGACTCTCGCAGAAGCACGCCGCACGCCTTGGAGAGCGTCCCTTGGACATGGAAAACTCTTTGATCCTGAGAGCTGTTAAATACGTGGCCCTCCCGCGGTGGTCCCCAAACCCGAAGGGGTCAGGAAATATCTGCGGAGGTCGTAGGGACCCGCACAGTCCCAGCAACGCTCCAAGCCCGGGTCCCCAAGGGCGTGTTTCGGAGACCAGCGTTTCCCCAAAACCCTGCCCGGCGTTTCAGAGGCTCTGGGGAGAGGCTCCCTCCCACTGTCATTTCTTCAAACGACCGGTGACTATAAACAGTGCAAGCCAACCTCTGGGCCCCGGCAGAAACAGGGGCGAATCGCGCTAGAGGTAATTCTCAGAAATTCCGGGCCCGCCCCTTTCTGGACAGCGCCTCTGGCCGATGAGCCAAGCTGGCGAGCGGGGGCGTGACCTGGGGCCCATTCCCAGTCCTCGGGCCTGACCCGCCTGTGACCCCTGCAGGCCGGACCGTGACATCCGAGTGAACTCTGCGGGGCCACCTCGCCAAGTTCAGCGCGCGCCGGGTCACAAGATGAGCGGGGCCTGCGCGCTGGAAATTGCCACGGGGGGACAATTTTTTTTTATCTGCCCATCGAGACCCGCGGGGGCGTCCGGCGGGGGCGTCCGGCAGGAAAGGACTAAATGTGAGCGTGAAAGATCATTAAAGAACATTTTGAAGGAGGGAGGGAGTTTCAGTAAATTACCAGCCCCAACGAACTTTGATCTAGGAACCTCGCCAAGCTTTCTTGGGGGTTAGGGGGCCGGGAGGGGAGTTGCTTCACTGGAAAACAAAATGTTTGCAAGATGTTTACAAAAACAGCCTTCCTGATGCTAAGGGGCAAGGGCGGGGGTGCGGAGCGGTGAGGACCCGAGAGGAGTCAGACGGACTAGGGCAGCCGGAGCCCCCCTCCTGCGCTACACTCCTGTCAACGCTTCTTCCTATCTCTTGAACACTCCCTCCCGTCTCGGGGTTCTAAACCCGTGTTCCCGCTGCTTGGGGCACCCCTCCCCCAGGCCACCGCTGGTCGATTCCTCCCAAAGTCGAAAGCCACCTCCTCAGAGAAGTTGTCCCAGCCCACCCCGCCGAATTTAGCCCCAGGCACTCTGTATTACAGGCCTGTTTTGTTGTCTTTGCAGCTATCACCACTGGACATACTCCTCTTTTGTTTGCTAGTTTATTTACTGTCTTCCTTCTTCGGGAGCATGTCAAGTGCAGGAAGGCAAGAACCCCTCTGCTCCTTCCCCCAAGAATTCGGAGTTACTGAAACAGGAGCTCGAACAGTCCTTAAAATCACTGAACACAATGTTATCAATGGAAATCAGAGTAAAAGTGGAGCCCCCTCTGAGCGGGTAAACCATGTCTCTTGGAACCAGCTCCACCGTGCTGGCTTCTGAGAGGCCCCTCCGCATATTTCTCTTCTCTCTGGAAATCAGAATCAGGCCTGGAGTTCGGGTCCTCTGGCCTCCTCACCCTAACCCATGCTTCTTAGGCTGGGCATCCTCTCTGCTTTTCAAGAGCGCCCTGAGGGCAGGCCCACACCCTGCCACCTTTGCTGCCTCTGGCGCCTGCCGATCTCAGGGTCTGGCGCCCGGCCTGTGACTGGCCATAAGTGATGAATTGCCCTGTGTGGGGGTTATGGCAGTGTCAGCCCAGCTCGGAAGGGCCCGCTGGGCTCTTAGGCGACCAACCCTGCACGCGCCTGCTGTGTCCCCCTTTCCTTCTGGCCCCCGGGATCCACCTTAAGCATAAGGTCAGGAGGGCATCGGCTTCCTTCTGGTTCACTAAGGGGTCAGATCGGGTCTGGGAGACAACTTCCCCGGCTCACCCATCGTGTCCAGCTGCCCAGGCCTGTCAGAAGATGGGTGGCAGGTTGAAGTGGGCCGTTGGGAATGACGGCATGGAAGCTTCTGGCTTTGATTTAAACACTGGTGGGAAACACTCTCTTGGAAAGGTCCAGAGAGTCCTTAAGTCAAGCTAGGGACCACTATGAAAAAGCAAAAGAGCTGAGTCCCACATGGTGGCCACAGGTGTGTTTGTGGAGGTGGGGTGTTGAGTGATGGGGTGGAGGAGAGAACTGGCAGGAGAGTCCAGGAGGCCATTGCTGACTCCTCAGGCAAGTCATTCGCCTCTCTTGCTCTTCAGTTTCTCCTCTGTCATAGAGAAGATGTTGAAGCAGTAAACCCGGAGGTCCCTGCAGCCAGGTACCACGGAGATCATTCACTGCGCAGCTTCCGGGGCTACGCTCCGGAGGGAAGTCGTGTAAGGCTGTGCCGTGGGCTGCCCAGCTCCAGACCCCTCTCTGGGCACATCCTGAGGTGGGTCCCCCCACGCCCCACCTCCCACCCTGCACCAGGGAGCAGCTGCCCGGTCAAGTCTAGCCTCCTAGCTCAACCGCTGCCAGGAAACTATCTCTTGGCCTTCCTGTTTTTGGTACAAATATCCCAAACCTCTCTGATTATCTCTCAGCCTCCCATGAAAATAATCCAGCCTTAGAGACATCTACGTATGCCTATTCTCCCCTGTATAAATGGGAAGATTAAATGCGTTCTTGAAGTAGGAATTTTTCCTTTAAGAAGTCTCCAACAGAATCCGGTGGTGTTGAGCCGTTTAGAGTCCTGGAAGCGCCCACAGTTCTGAGTTTCCGCCGATACCGGCAGACTGGCCAGGAGCACGAAGCCGGAGGCCAGCTGCCTGGGGGCCTTCCGTTGGGCGCCCTCTTGGTGTCTTCCCATGGCCCAGAGCCAAGCCAGAGATGTGCCTCCGGCGTCCTCGCTTCCTCCCAAGGGTTGCAGGTCTCGCCGCATATGCCGGGTCTCTGGCACGATTTACGAGGTGCAATTTCCCCATGGTCCCGAGATCCATGCACCCTCCAGGGATTGGCGCAGGAAGGTGAAGCCAAGTAGCCCCTAGTGGAGATCTGTTCCCTCCATCCCAGCTTTTAGATTCTAGGAAGGGCTTAAGAGACAGCACACGACGACCTTTCCTTCCCTAGGGCTCGGAGACCCGGAGGCACCTTCCCACCGGCCTGGGCGCGTCTCCGGTGCGGTGGCGGTGGCTGTGGCTCACTCCCCCTTCCTCGAGTCCAGCATATAACTGCGTTTGGTGAAAGTTTGCGGAACGAGTGAACGAGTGAGTAGGCGAGAAACGCTTCACCTGGAGCCACAGATGGGCGGCGCTGCGCGCGCGCCGCAGCCACTGGCCAAGCCGTGTGCCGCTGCTCAGCGGGTCAGAGTAGCTCATCCCCCGTGGCCGAAGGCGCGAGGGGATGGAAAAAGAGCCGAAGCCCGTCCACCGGGTGCACGATGGGCACGGTTTGCATGGCGGGATAGGCGGGCGTGGCCAGCTCCCAGCGCGCGGTGCGCACCAGTTCCACAGCTAGCAGCTGAAGCACCGCCTGCGCCAGCTCCTGGCCGGGGCAGCTGCGCGCACCGCCGCCGAACGGGATGTAATGGAAGCGGCCGGAGGCGCTGCCAACATCTTCGCGTGCCGCGACAAAGCGCTCGGGGTCGAAGCCCTCGGGCGGGCTGCGGTACACCGCGGCCGTCTCGTGCGTGTCCCGGATGCTATACATCACGCTCCAGCCCTTGGGGATCTGGTAGCCCTGCGGGGAGGCGAGGAGACTGGCCTGACCACGAGGCACATGGAAACGGCCGGCCAGAACCGACCCTCCGCCCTGGGCGCATCAAACAGGCTTCCAAAAACACGCAGAACACGAGACTAACCCGGAAGCCTGGGGAAAGCTCTGCGTTCCGATCTCAGCTCCTTCACTGGTGAACTCTAGGACCTTGGCTAGATATTCAGTCTTTTTGAGCCTCAGTTTCTCAATCGATAAAATGAAAACAAAAACGCCTACTTTGTTGTAAGGATTAAAGGGTCTGGCACATATTGGTGTTCAGTAAACGGGATCCAGAAAACACGCAGAACACGAGACTAACCCGGAAGCCTGGGGAAAGCTCTGCGTTCCCATCTCAGCTCCTTCACTGGTGAACTCTAGGACCTTGGCTAGATATTCAGTCTTTTTGAGCCTCAGTTTCTCAATCGATAAAATGAAAACAAAAATGCCTACTTTGTTGTAAGGATTAAAGGGTCTGGCACATATTGGTGTTCAGTAAACGGGATCCATTATTTATGTTCCCGTGCTTTTTGTCTTTTTCTCCCCTCGAGACCTAAATTCTAGTCCTGCGCCTACCAACTGCCTGCGCCTGAACGATGCAGATGATCGGGACTCACATTTCCTCCATATAACTGAGCTCAGTTCAATTATACCGCTCTTCGTCTTGAACGGAAAACTTCCTGTCCTTTTCCCACCCATCAGCCGGACAATGATTGCAGATTTGGTAGCCACACCTTTGGGGGAGGGGGGGAGAGCAACTGGCCGGGACAGGGATCCGAACTTGTAACCTTGGGGTAATAAGGCTGTGCTCTAACTAACTGAGCTAACCAGCCAGCCCAGTGGCCACGCTTTTGAGAAGGTGCTCATGATAATTAAACTAGTGAGTCTCTAAAATGTTGGAAGGCAGCTTACCACCAGCTTTTTCAACTTGTCCACTTTTTGATGTGTCTTCCAACTTCTTGACTATCCTGCTGTCCCCAAGAGGTTTCAGGTTGACTACTCAGAGGTTCTCAACAGGGGGACATCTTGCAATCACCTGAGGAGCTCTCTCTCTCCTCTTGGGCTTTGGTTTTCCCATCTGTAAACTGGGGGGTGGCTAAGACCCTTCCCTGTCCTCTGTTCACCCTCCCTGGTTCTCTGCTCCTCTCTCTGTTTCCCCAAGATCTTGTAAGGCACCCCAGCGCCTGCAGAATGAAGTCTGAATTCCAAGATTCAGCATCCTTTGTAAACACTCACCTTTGTCTGGGCTATTCCTTCTCTGTGATGAGCTGTCCCCATCCTAACCCTTCACTGCTCCAGTTCAAATAACAGCTCCCAAAATGTTTTGGTGTCACCCAGCACGCGAGATCACTCCTTCACGCCACAGTTTGGAATGAAGCTGTCGGTGCTGGCTCCCTCCCTCTCCATGTGGAACTCCTCGAGGGCAGGACCCCAGTCCCTCCCATACCCCCTCCATCCCAAGCACCACGGATATTCGAATATTCGCTGTGGAAGGATGTGCCCATTGTCTGGAGTCACACGGCCACCGAGCTCGGTGCTCTGGGGACTGCAGCGACAGCCTTTCAGGCAAATGACCTCAGTTCGACAGTGCGAGGGCACCCACCACTCCCCGACGCCGCCACTGCGCCGCGCAGCACCGGTCCCATCTGAAGCGTCAGAGCTGTAAAGCACCAAGACAGCTTCCTTCCAGAGTAAACTGAGGCCCAGAGTGAAGACAGAACTGCCAAGGTCATAGAGAGATGGAACCAGGCCTAGACCTTACCCTTGCCCCGCCCAAGCCAACCTAAGCCAGCCTGGTCATTAACGGAGCCACCCTATATTTTAAATTGCCACCTTTCCCTGGAATCCGTTCTTAGTCGGGGCCCTAGACAGGTAACAATGATCGGTTCCTTGATCTTGTGAGGGAGCCAGAGGAGTGAGGTAAAGGACATACCGAGGAGCTCTCTCTGTTCCCGCCCAGATTCACTGGCTGGGAGGGGGGTGCTGCGCAGAGAAAAGCATGTTTTTATTCTACGATTCGTCTCTGATTGAGTTGACCGACCCGGACCGCTGCAAAAGCTCAAGTGAACTAGATACCTAACCTCGCCGGCTCGCCAGGCGACGGGCTTTACGTCCCTCAAACGGGGATCTGGGGAAATGGACAAGGGCTGAGCCCATTTTACAGGAGGGCAAGCTGAGACTCGGAGAGGAAGAGGAGACCTCGCTGTCCTAGTCCCCTGCGCTCCACCCACCCGGCGCCCACGGCAGGAGGCCGGCTGCGGAGCCGACACGGCGCACTTACGTCGAGCTCGAAGGTGCGCAGTGCGGTGCGGTAGCCCCCGGACACGGGTGGCAGGAGGCGCAGCACCTCCTTGACCACGCAGTCGACGTAGCGCAGACGGCCCAGCGCCGCCAGGCTGAGGTCGGGCTCGCAGCCGCAGTCCGGCCGTGGCCCCGCGCCGCCCCCCGCG